GAACAGGAGACAATGGAGCCTTAAGCTACACGTGAATGAAAATGAACCAGATCACTGCTAGGTGGGATGATTGAGAATCCAAGATAAGTATGCATATAATCATCATAATCATCTGTTATACATTTCCTCACAAAATTAGTTACTCAATGTCCTCTGTTAACACCTCGGCGGTTATAAGCAAAAAAAAATTTGCCTATAATAGTTAGAAGTTGTGCTTAGTTAGGAACATCAATCTGCGGCGGGTAACTCAGGAACGTCAGAAATAGTAAAGGTTGAAAGTAGGTCAAGTTGAATTGGCATAATGAATGATGTGGAATATATTAGCCATGACTAAGAGTTGTTAGACGATCATCTCGAATTGTGAATGAGTACTATTGTAAACGAAGAGAAACTTTATGTGTTGGAAGAAAAGTGCTACTCATTCCATGGAGTGTCGTGGTGTTGAAAGCAGTTTCACTCGCACTGTTTGGTTGAAAATGAAGGTATCGCCTTTGTTCCAGATCGCATGAGCATAAAGGAACCTTTTCCAAAGATGAAGCTTGGTCTCAAATTATGTTGTTACGTTAACCGAATAGGCTTTCAACTAATTTGTTATGGTCAAAGAATAGAACATAGATCTTATCTACAGTGACATGTACTCTCAAAAGAATCATTTTAGGGGCAAGAGACAATGATTCTCAGACAATGAAATAGCACGTTTTTCACAAGTTTTCTGAGCAGGAACGTCTGACGAATAAAACTTATTATGATCATGACTAATCAAGATGATTGTCGATGGCCACAAAGATTATGGCGAAAGCCGTAATCAAGTCAAACTTGCCACTGTAATATTTAGTAATCGATCTAGGTGTTGGTAATAACAAGAGGCAAGCAGTAGTGATGATCCCAATTCTAATGTGAACGCCCCCCTGTTCTAAGTATCTGGTTCGATCCCGCCACAACTCACCACGTCTACCATTTCTTTCGAGGTAACGAAATTGCCTTCCGACTTATCCGTGACAAGCTGACTCTTCCAATTCAAGTTGAAAAGCTGTAGGACGGTTATCTCAGAATTTGAGACGAAGTCGATCTGATCAGCATTTAACGTTTTTCATGGCAAATTCGAAAGTTCCCAAACAGCAGGCGAACTCACACGTTCAGGACCTTGAACACCTTTATGATAAATGGATGGCAGAAAGACTCGAATGAGAAAAGTGCTGGAACCAGCAGAATGTCATACAATATATGTAATGGCTGCTACAGTCTCCTAGCAAGAACTTTAAGTATATAACAGATAGTCAGTTTCCAAAAAAAAAAAAACTTATTAGTCTGAACGCAACATTGAAAAAATCTTTTTAGAGAAATTGTTATAACCATAAATGCTTGATTTTTATGTACTGAATTCAATGTTCTCACGGCGAGCAGGCCATTAAGCAGCAAACAGATTTGCTTATTGAAAACAGTAGATTTTGTTGTTAACAAAACTAGTTAAGAAGAAATTCAATGTTTTTATACAACATTAGAATTTCTTGGGCTTTCTTCTGACGAAACATTGCACATCAGCGGTATGTTCTAGTTGCGAATGAAACTAAATTGTACTAAACTAACTGTGAAAGGTGATTTGGAAAATAATGACGGTTATGACCTCAAAACTTGCACACCACTAAATGCCTTGGAAATCTGTCAAGGTTGTGAATTTCCACATATTTGTAGATGCGCAAGGACTACTAAAACACTTATTTTGCAGTTGATTCTACCATGTCTAGCAATTTTGCCCTTATGTCACATGACACAAAGAGGAGAGCTTCACGTCATCTCATACTATTGATGTTTATTACCTGGACACATTATTTAGTAGAAAAAAAAAGAGTGTTAAGTCTTACTCAATACAATCCTTCCTGAAATATGACTATTCGCACAATGAATTTAGTTAGGAGGAATAGCAAGTATTTTCGTGATGCTCAGAACCGTGAATTATAAGATGAATGTAAAACACTTTTATAGAGCTAAATTACAAGATGAGCGCATCTGGCTCAATGGTTAGAGGTGTTCCACGTCGCACACAAGGTCGATAATTCAATTTCGCGCTCATGGCTCACCAAGCCAGATATCCCTCTTGCGCCGATAAATTGTACCAGAGGAGTTAGGCTTGTTTGGGAGGATAAACAGCACTACTTGATACTGCGGTAGGTCACTGCGAGTCATTGGAAGGGCCACATATGTATTCAGCCAGCTCAAAGGAAGTTAGAAATTGAAAATTAATGCGTGGAGCATCCCTATGGAACTGATCAACGCCAAAGTTTTATCCTTTTCATTCTTTCCAAATCACGAGATGTGGTCAAATAACACTGATTATCTAAAGGAGAGCTCATATGTACTATTTCAAGTAGAAGTGCAGAATACTTTATCACTATAGCATTTGTATAAGAATAGTAGAGTCTTGTTTCAGAGTTGCTACTAGAACTGATATTCTATTTTCGTATCGACTCTTAGATTTCACGGGGGCTGTGATTACTGCGTGCCGATTTACCCAGAAAATTAGTATTTACTCGCTTACTTATGAAGGAAAAAAAACTCTCGTCAAGGTTAATCAGTTAAGATTAAGTAGGTATCACAGATTTCTGCCCTTGATAATTCCAGAAATATCAATTCTAGGTGGAGATACGGTACTTCTCACAGTACGGTGGTTGAAGTACTTGTCAACCACCGCATTTGACATCCCTTTAATCACTTCTAACTGAACAGTTGCATCGTTTTACATTTACATTCCACCACTCCACCTTTTCGACTTTTCGCATTTGTTCACTTTTACTCGAACTACACCAATGGTCATCCATTTTACCGTCGATTTACGCTTCGAGATATTTCTTCTCCTATGTAGTGTTAATAAGCTACCGCTTTCATTAATGTCGAACTGTATAGGCACCGTAGAGACAATCTAAAAACCCCATTAATCCGTTCTCGACGAATCTTTTTTGCTTCTCCTTTAGACTTTCAAAGATCTTTCGTCTCTGCGATCTCAATACCACCTCGAAAAAGCGCGAATTTCGTCAATTGATTGAAGAATTCTTTTATTTTGAAAGATTGCTAGATTTCTTACATTACAGTTGCAGAAAAACTTTGTTCTATCGTACCTATGGTATTGGCTTTTATTTTCCTTGAATACTGTCGCTATAAAAACACGTGGCGTAGTGGCTAGAAGTGCTCTGCGTCGAACACAAGGCCGATGGTTCAATCTCGCGCTCATAGCGCAGCAAGCCATTCATCCCTCCGGGGTCGGTAAATTGGTACCAGACAGGTCTCAGACTTGTCTGGGAGGATAAGCAGCACTGACTCGGTTCAGCGGGAGGCCACCGCGAGTCATTGTAAAAGCCAGATGTGCATTCAATCACCTCAAAAGAAGTTAAAAATTGAAGAAGAATGCAATTCGCATCCCTCAGGGATTGATCAACACCGAGAGCTTTAAACTTTATCCATTTATTGCAGCTATGAAGTTATAAAAACCGCTTTAAAAATTTAGCAAAGCATTACCAACTTTGGATGTAAAACGTAATTTTTTGCCTCTATTGCACCCTAGAAGGATCGTTTAAGAAGCCACTTTTGCACCGATATGTAAAAATTTGAGCTGTTGGTTAGCTTCAGGAGGTCTTACAAAAAGCCGTAAACAGTCGAGCAGATAAAGTAGAGGACTATGAAATCAAATTTCATTTTCGCTGCTACGACGCACTAAGAAGCCTTTTTACAAATCAAACACATTATAAAGATAGCCGTATTTTAGGCTTCCGAATGACTACTCAAAGTCTACAACAAAATTTGTGTCCATAAAAAAGGACTTCAAAAATTCGTGGATCTACAAAAAAATATATACCGACCCGCGGTTTCAGATTTCATACACCCCTTCGCGGACGGCACATTATCTTCTTTTGCAAGAGGCGTGCGATTTTCGTTATTCTATAGGGACAATTTACATTTCGTAAAGAACTTTGAGTATTCTGTAGAACCCTGATACTACACAATTTTCTCGAACACTCATTTACTTTTTGTGCACATATGAGTCGTATGAAGTACGAGCGCTTGTGGCGCCGTGGTTAGAGGTGTTCCGCGTCGCTCACAAGGATGATGGTTCGATCTCGCGTTCATGGCTCATCAGTCCACCTTCAGGATTGGTAAGATAGTACCCGACTGCTCCCGGACTTGTCTGGGAGGATAAGCAGCATTGACTCTATACAGTGGGAGGCGACCGCGAGTGATTGTAAAGGCCAGATATGTAATCGATCACCTCAAATGAAGTTAAAAATCAAAGACGAGTGCGTGGCACACCCCTCAGGGATCGCTCAACGCTGAGAGCTTTATCCTTTACCCTTTATGACTCGTGCGAAGAAATCCTCAAGTGTGAAAAGTAATATCATTTTCGCTCCTATAGCGCACTACATGAACCTTCTTGAAAACCAAATATACGATCGGAATCGCCGAGATTTGTGCTATCGAAAGCCACCCAGGGACCCTAACCGTACGAGAAAAGCTCTCCAAATGCAAGATATAATGTTATTGTCGTTGCTACAGCGCACTAAAAAGGCCTTCTTAGAAATCAAGCATAGTGTTGAAATCGACGATATCTATGCTAGCGAGTGGCTACTAAAATTCCAGTAGAGAAAGCTCTATCCAACGAAAAGAAGATCTCTGGAAAATTGAGGATCACAATAACTCTCATCGAGCACTAAGGGTTTGAAAAAGCTGCAGTTTTTAACGTGTTGTAACAGTGAGAATAAAATTATGCTTCACAATCAGTCTCCTTTGTTTGCTCGGCTGAAATCTATGGATGGCTTCCCCCTGGACTTTCGGTAGTTATTCGATGCTCAAATCTCGACGACTCTGATGTTAAGATTGGTTTCTGAAAACGTTTACACAGAACACTGTAAGAGCGAGAAAAACATCACGTTTACCAGTCGTAGTTTTCTTCGTACATAAGAGTTATAATATGTGCAAATATGGGTAAGGGAACTGAGTAGTAAGCAAAAATCCGAACTCACGCGGGAGTTGAACCCGCGTTTCATCCTACTGAAGGCTCGTGCTACCACTACACCACTGAGGCCACCGCTTATTCACCACTCATTCTTCAAGATCGCTCTATTATAGCTACCAGCTACGAACCTTTAACAGTGCAACGGTTAGCATACGCTCCCGGAAAGAGTGAGATCTGGGTTCGAATCCTGGCTGACGCAAACGTTTTTGCACAGCATTCCACATATTGGGCATATCGCTCTATAAACCCAGTTAAGCCGACAGCCATTGTACTCAGATAGTTCCTAGATTTCTTACGTTTTTACTGCTTTTACGCAGTGCTATGATATTTCAAACATTCCTAGGGGTATTAAGTGCTAAGCAAAAACTCGACCTCGAGGGAATTGAACCCGCGTTTCACCCGCACCGCGAAAACGCAGTAAGAATTTACGAAATCTCGGTACTAAATGGGGTTATATTTACATGAAAAGCATATGACCATGTAGAGAAAATTAAGGAGTATCAGAGTTACACAAAAAACCTAAAGTTTCTTTTGAAATGCGTTTGATCTATTGCAGTCCCGAAAGAGTTAAAAAGAAAAACGCGACATAAAAACTATACGAACGCGTAAACTCCGTTTCCTTTCTGCCGCTGATATCGCAACAAGCTTCTCCAGCCTGTTCGATCATCATCGTCGTCATGGGTGGTCGACGTGGGTGGTCGACGTGGGTGGTCGTCACCGCTGTGTGGGGACGCGAATGCGGACGTGGTTTTCCGTGCAGGACCGGCTTGGCGTGTGCGCGCGGCGACACGTCATACGGTCTTTGTTGTCTGGCGGCGTGGTGTCGTTCACTTCGTTATTCTATCTCTACACCTCCACTGGTGTCTCACATCGCACAGGGCTTCGACACTTTTTTCTGTTCGTCGTCCTGTCATAATATTCTAAAAAAACCTATAAAAACTGAAAAAATCTCTAAAGCCTCCAAAAAAAGCGGAAAATCTATTCGAAAATCCCAAAAAAAGTGCTACCTACCGATTTGATCACACGCACTAACACAAAGGTGAGTTCGTTCGATTTTGTCTTTGCTTCGTATTCCTCGCAGGTTTACTTATTTCAAGTCTTTTTTCTGATCTAATTATAATTTAAATCAATAATGAAGGCGTAATTTCTGTTGCATTCATAGTGATTTTTGACCATTTGAATCCTGTGAGAATGCTTTCTCGGCTGTGTATAGCCATAAGATCATCTACAGGTAAGAGATTTCGCTAATTATATAGTTTAATTTATGTAAAAATATAGATTTAAGAATATTGAGGGGTGCTTAGAAATCCGACCCCAAGTGGGATTGAACCAGCACGATTTAACCATCGTAGAGGCCCGCGCTACTACCACTGCGCCACGAAGACCGTCACTTTTCTATCGCGTTTATATCTCAAGGCGTTAGAAGCGGAAAAGATAAAAATGAATGACATCATATTCAAACTCATTTTTTGTTAGTATCCGATTGTTGAGGCTGAGGAAAAGTGGTAGTAAAGCGGCAGCCTCGCTAGCGTAATGGTAGCGCGCGAACCCCGCCATAGATGAGATGCGGGTTCAACTCCCGCTTGTTCTTAAAGCTCCGCTTACCCCTCCATACTCATAGAAATCGGATTCTTGATTGGGTTTACTCATCTTCAGGTCCCAAACAATGTCGACATCGGTTCCTGGTGTTGCAGCAGGTACGGCATCGTACTCGATGGCATCGCTGTACGTCGGTGACCTCCATCCGGACGTCACCGAATCGATGTTATTCGAGAAATTCAGCACAGCTGGCTCGGTACTGTCCATCCGTGTATGTCGTGATAATGCTAGTCGTTTGTCTCTCGGATACGCATACGTGAACTTCCAGAATCCCACAGATGGTAAGTGTATTTCTTAAGATTTCTTCTACCTTAACAGCATATTTCAAGCCTGGTTCTTTCTGTTTGTAAATGGACAAATGAAAAGCCGACCTCATTATCTGGACAGGATATTTTCACAGGAGTGTTAATAGTTATTCGAAAGCTTAGATTTCTGACTCGAGCTCCCACATGACCGGTTTTACAAAACACCATTTTATAGCGCTATAATGTTCAAAACAAAAATATGTGTGTACCTAATAATGTAGAGTGGTGTGCAAAAACGTTTGCGTCAGCTGGGTTCGAACCTAGATCTCACTCTTTCCGGGATCGTGTGCTGAACCGTTGCACTACCGACGCCCGTTTTGCACACCGCTCTTTCTACGCTACAACGCATCTAACTGTCACCCGCCAATCGTCAACGGTCTGGTCAAAAATATTTTTCACATAACTACGTGTTATTTCCCTATCTCGCTTATATTTCGCTGGACAAAATCCCTTCCTTAGGGTGCTAAAACTCATTCGGTAGCACAAGTTTCGAAAAGCTCAAAAGTATGTTTGTTTTTTGAAAAGCTCTTTTATAGCGTCTAGGAAAAAGAAAAGATTTGTGCTTCACAGCTGGTCGGACAGAGGTCTTTCTTTAGACTATCACTAATCAATGGAAAGCGTAGATTTCAGTGATTCCATCGTTTTATATATTGTCTGGAAAATCGTTTAGCAGCGAGAATGGATCGAGTTTCACATTTTCGACGACATTCTTTACTGGCCAACTTACGAAGCGGGGCAGGTGCGGAACGGCCGGTCACGTTCGACATATCGCTATTCAATTGGGGATTTTTTCATCGCATCGACAGAAACATAAGCTAAAAACGTATGATTCTGATACTACGGGTAATTATTTACACGCTGATGTGCTTTTCGTGATTCCAGCGAATTATACATGTAGAGAAATGAAAGGGCACAGCGAGTATGAAACATTTTTTTTGAATGCGACATTGTTATAAAAGGGTGTTTTGAATAACCTGCGAAGTGGGTTGTAGCCCCAAGTCTTAGCTTTCGAATGGTTACTAACACTCCTGTGAAAATTTCCTTTCCACTGAATGAGGTCGATTTTCACTTGTCCCTTTACAATCACAAAGAACCCAAGCCTTTCATGGGGTCTGTTATGGCGTTCATAAAGTGCAAGACACATGTTTCGGCCTCCCAGTCTCGTCAGTCGCACGGTACCTTTTGGTTCAGTCTTTCCTTGGGATCATATCTTCTGTCGAGAGGAATCGACATCAAACTGTTCAAACTCAACTTACGGTGAAAGAATCACCGTGGCGTCCTTTCAGAGTAATTGCTTGTCGATTAGATAGTTTGATGCTGTCACAAAGCATGTGTAAAAATCACTTCTAATCAACTATCTTGAGAACTCCATTTCTTTCTTTTATCTATTGTTCAATGGGACCACACCTGCAAGATTTGTTTGCGCGTACATTGGGCAATCTGCTGTAACTTCTCCTATTCTGTAGTTTGGAGGATGGGCGCGGATGGTGCTATGGTTAGAGGTACCCTTCAACGCACAAGTGGTCGATGGTTTGATCCCGTGCCCAAGGCTTGCCAACCAAACACTTCCATCCCTTCGGTGTTAGTGAATCGGTACCGGGCTTGTTTGGGAGGATAGCAGCACCGATTAGATACATCGGTTGACCACCGCTAGATCAGTTATTGTTAAGGTCAGATATGCATTTAGTCACCCCTCAAACGGGTCTATGAATAGATACGAACGCATGGCGCATCCCTTAAAGGTTGGTCATCGCTAAGGGCTTTTAGAGCTGTCTAATTTGGAGAACGTGATAAAATAAAAGGGAAGTTGAAAGTTTTTCGAGAACTATGCTGGTCTTCTTGAAGACGTGATATGAGTACTTAGTCGATAGTTCCATAAGTTTTCGAGAAAGATGAACATCAAATCTACTAACCAAAAGTAATTAAAATTGCTTGATTTTGGTATCGTTCAATCGCGCATTTTCTTGCGAACAGTTTGGTGTACAACTTGCGTATAATTGCTTCAAGATGGTGCACTCGTGGGAACAAATTCGCTCGCTAGTCATGCATAAATGGCGTGTAGAGAAAATGCCATTGAAGCGGCGCGCAAGATTAATGGAGCTTGGGGCGATAATAAAATTGTAAAAAGGACGGCTAGGAGGTGACTAGCGGTGTTCAATGCTGGAGAGAATAGTCTGGAGAGTCAGTCGCGTTCGGAGCGTCCACAGGAAGCTCCATTAATCTTGCGCTTCGCTTCACCATCTCTTTCCCTTTACGATCCATTCGTGCACAAGTAGGAAGCGATAGTGTTTCCACGACAGCTCCGTCTGAAAGTAAATATAAGCAAGTTGTGCTTCAAAATGTTCGCAGCAAAATGTGCAATTGAACGATACCAAAATCATGCAATTTCAATTACTTCTGCCCAATAAATTTGCCGTCAATCATTGTAGTGCCAAAACTTATAGAACTACCTCATACATGCGAGAGCGTGTTGCCAGTAGCTAGAAATGATCGGCAAAACACACATGTGGTCGATCAAGCGATGAGATGGTTCGATCGAGCTCATCCGAAGCTTACCAAGCCTTCCATCCCTCCGGGGCCGGTAAATTGGTACCAGACGTGTTTAGTAGGATAACAACACTGTTTAGATGCATCGATAGGCAGCATCCCTTAGGGATTGATCAGTGCTGAGGGCTTCTAGAGCTGCATAATTTGGAGGGCGTGTTGAAAGGGACGTTGAAAGTGTTTGGAGAACTAAGTTATTCTTCTTGAACGCGTAATCTTAGTGCCTTTAATCGACGAAATATTCTTAATTTTAAATAGAACCCCGCGGATATCCATTAGTACGATGGACCATTTCCATTACTAACTTTAGGTTCATTTGTTTTCATTCAATATTTGTGTTGTAATGGGATTCAGGCTCACAAAATCGCATTATTCAGCTGAAAGGGCACTCGATACAATGAATTTTGACACCCTCCGTGGGAAACCTATGCGGATCATGTGGTCGCAACGCGATCCGGCCGTCCGACGATCTGGAAATGGGAACATTTTCATCAAAAATCTTGATAAAGTGATTGACAACAAGTCCATCTATGACACCTTTTCGTTATTCGGCAACATCCTTTCATGTAAGGTAAGAGATTTTGCGATTGTGTCAGGCGGGTCAATAGCCCTGTTTTGACTC